GTCGACTGGGTTAGAGGGCTCGCCTTCCCTCTTTCTTTTCTCGTTYCCGCYYTCGGTTCGTTGGTTGATTTCTTCCTCTGTCCTCATGAACTTGTCCGCGAGCTTGAGGAATTCGGCCACGGTTGCGGGCTGGTTAGCTATCATGTGCCATTTGAATTATTTGTACGTTACCCCTCTTTTTGCCGCCGCGAGCTGCACCGCGGGGTCTAACCGCGGTATCTGCAAGCATGTTTCATTGAATCGCTTGATGTAGCCCCGTATGGATTCTCCTTCCCTTTGGACTACTCCGAAGATGCTTTCCTCTGCTCTGGGGCACCTTAGTATACTATTTCTATTTGTCTACTCCATTTTTGATGATTTGCATCTCATCTTTACTATAAATAGTGCTCTTATTGTCTTGGTCCCCCAAAAGGAAGAAATTGCTCTTTGCCTAGTGATTTTAGGCCCATCAATCTAGCAAATATTACCTATAAATTTGTGGCAAAAATGTTAGCTAGTAGATTGAAAACTTTTCTATACAAATTTGTTTGTCCATATCAAAATGCATTTACACCAATACTTGACAACATTATGCTGGCTAGAGAGGTGGTGCATTTCCTACTAAAAATTGATTTGTCTAAAGCTTAAGATCATGTAGAATGGTCCTTTTTATTATTACACTGTATGGGCTTTTTTGAGGAATTCCACACACTTGTAAGTAACTGCTTGGCCTCTTCTTCTCTGTGTGCATTCTTGTTAATGGCACTCCCATTTAGACTTTTAAACTGAGTAAAGCACTTTGCCAAGGTTGCCCTCTGTCTCCATATCTTTTCATAATTTATTTGGAATTACTTTCCATAATGCTTACAGATGCTCTTAGGATGGGTGATCCTCAAGGTTTTTAATTTGGAAGATCTCGTTCAAAGCTAAATCACCTTTTATTTGTGGATGATTTGCTAATCTTTGGAGAAGCAACCATGTTGGAGGCCCAAAACCTAAAATCACTCCTTGAAAATTTCTGTGGTTGGTTTGGACAAGTGAACTTTGACAAATCTCCCATTTTCTTTAGTAAGAGCACCCCATGTGCTTCAAAATCTGAAATCATGAGACTAATGGGTGTAAATGAGATGAAGAAGGATGACCTGAATCTAGGTGGACCTCTCCTCAATGCTACAAAAAAAAAAACAACTCGGAAATTCATTTTGGAGGTGAACCAAATTCAAGAGAAGGGGTATTTTAGTAAAAAAAATTTAGAAGCCAATACCTAATTCACACTTTTATAGGCAATATAGATATATAAGAAATAAAATGTGGTATGTATAATATATAATATAAAATAATTTATAATATATAATACATTAAGATAATTTATTTTTTTTTAAGTCAAGTTTCAATCCTTCAACCTTCATGTTTATTTGCTTACCCATTTAAGAACAATAGTCCAAGACAATGAGTAACTTTTGAATTTTTTTTGGTTCTTTGAAATTACAAACTTATTTGTTTACCCATTCTCTTAGGCTAAAGGGATGCGGAAAGAAGAATATTCCTAAAAGAAACCTTTTTGCCATGTTTGATTGTTGGGATAGGGCTGAGAAAAGAGTGAGAAACAGGATCCCAAAAATAAGTAAATGGGATCCTACCAAAATAGTGCAACCCCAATGAGAAAGGAAAAACGTAAGGCGCACTTGAGAAAAGTTATTGGGCTTTGTCAGCCTGAACTCGAGAATCTCTTCTTCTTTTAACCAAGCATCCCAGCGGTCATATCTCCGACGACTTCTTTGGTGATTTCAAGCAAAGGTAAGACCAAATTCACACTCCTCTTGCTTTGGCGAGCCATTTCCTCTATTTTCTTGTATATTTTGGTGGATAAGAATGCCTTTACCATTGTTGCACCAGTCTCTGCAATGACTGACCCCATTTCATCTTCTTCACTATTTTCGGCAAGAAGAAGCTCCATTCTCCTTGTGTAGGTGAGATTTGTTAGGACAACCTGTTTTAGCAAGCAAAGGAGAAGCTCCATTTCATCTTCTTCACTACTTGCGTCAATCTCTGTTTTAGCCTTCTCATTTTATGAGATTTGTTAGGACATGCACAAGGGTAAAATGAGATTTGTTAGGTACAGGGGTTTTTTTGAGATTCAAGTTATAGTGTTGTGACGAAGGGGTTTTTTTGTTTTTTTGTTTTTTGTTATTTTGAAGTGATGACTTATCCTGAAATGCATATTCGACCATTAGATCACTACTGGTTTGCTCTTTTCACCAGCAGTCATCAACATTATTTGTGCATTTTTTTTCCATTGTGACTTCCAACAAGACTACTATTTCTTTTGGTTCGATTTCAGAACCCTTTTCTACCATGATCAAAGAAGACAATGGAGCTATTACCAAAAAAAAAAAAAAGAAGAGGGAACCAATTGGTTCTTCTGAAGTGCTGACTTAATTCCTTGTTTTACTATAGTTCTTTAGCTGACTCCTAGTAACCGATTGGGTAGATTACTGTAGTTCTTTACTGTAGTTCTATGGACTGCATATAACTTATCTCCGTCCCTCATTCTTTAGAAATAGCTTCCTATATGGCTTCGTAATCTTTCTTTTATGAATGTATGGCTTGAAAATCTTCTTATGAATAATAACATATAAAGTATCTCATACAACTAGGAAAGGAAGGTCACTGCATTCGCTCTTGCTTCACTTCACTACACTTGCTAACGTTGTGGTGGTGATCCAGGGCCCTCAGAGGCACTGAGGGTGTTTTTAGGGATTGAAATGTGTTAATAGTAGTTCTCTATGCAGGCCCAATAGGGTTAGAAGACTCCCTTATAGCTGAAATTTCTGCTATTCTGGTCTAAAGCTAGCTAAACATCTTAATTTAAGGCAGCTGGAGATCGAAGGTGACTCTATGTTGGTGACGGATTGGTTGAAAAACAACAGTAAAGGGGGGTGGTTATATAAACAAATATTGAAAGAAATTGGAAAGCTTGCAAGTAAGTAAGGGGCCTCATTCAGTTGGTTCAAATGGTTTGGCAGATGCTCTAGCCAAACAAGGGGTATCTAGGGATCAATTGTATTAGGCTACAATGATGATTGGTTGAGAATGGGACCAGCTCATTGGGTGCTAGTAGTTGTATCTCTTAAAAATGCCATCTTTTCTGAATTAATAAAATTCCTTTAAAAAATGGATCCACTCCAGGGCTGTGGAGTAATTCTAGGTTAAGAAAAAGGGAAAAAAAGACTCTTTAAACTTTTGTGACACTTTAAGATCACAATCCCATTCCTAAGAAATTAGCACATCAGAATGTAACTATTAAAAAACTCAAATTGACAAAAAAAAGAAAAAAAAACAAATCAGATCACCCAAAATTTAAAAAAAAAAGCCCTTGGTGCTGGATATATAGAGAAACTTATGGTTTATTTCCTTGCTTCCATGCCTGCATTAGTTTTTTTGTACTTTAGAGAGAATATAGTTTGAACTTTCATGGGGATGGATCCCTGAACTGAATGGTGTTTTTCATGATTTTTATCTAATATCTGATCTTGAATTCCTGCCAAATAGTAATCACTTACTGGTGCAAGTGAGTGAATGTAAAAATAATTATTGATTGGGAAGTGTATTAAATATTTACCATAAATAGTATATTTATCTGAAAGTTCATTTACTTGATTAACTTGCATAAACTCACTGTTTATTGGTATTCCCCATCTAATAAGCTTCCACTTGGAAGTTGGAAAATTCCCAGGTCAGCAAGGAGACAGAATAGAAAACTAATCACATGTGTTATATACTTATATTGTAACATTCAAAAAACAATATATAACATAATTAAAAAAAAAAGCATATCGTGCAGCTATATAAAAGTAAATCTAAAATGCACAAGAATATGTCTATACTTGTATATACAGATTTGGTTGGGTGCATTATATAAATGTCATTCTTTGTTTGGTGTTCCATTATTCTTTTATCAGTTACCATATGCAGCAAAATAGCTTCCTGCATTTTACTATATATGATCCAAACTTGAACTAGGGGACTTATAAGCCCTAATATTTCAAACCGTCAGGTATATGATCCAAACTTGATCCAAACCGTCAGGTATAGGAGGGATCTTGAGGAATAAGGATAGCAACATTCTGTCCTTATTCTCAGATCCAATGGGTTATGGAGACTCTACAAGGGCTGAGATATTAGCTGTGGTACAAGGACTACAGATTTCCAACCAACTTGGAGTGACTAATTTGATAGTTGAAGGAGACTCTAAGGTGATAGTGGGATGGATGTCGGACCCAGAAACTGTTGTTTGGGGATATAGGGACATCATCAAAA